AAAAAAAACTTACAGTTGAATATAAGTTTAATCTCAGAGAAGAGTCCTTCAGTTTAGTGTTCAACATCACGTCATTGCCGAGATTGTCGATAGTCAATTTTCCATCGACGATGTGATAATCGATGAATGCGCGTAATTTATCTTGATCGTCCTTTATTTCATCCAGAATTTTTTTCGACTCCGGTTTAGCAAGAGTCTCGTCGCTCAATGCAAAAATGGTGATGTTTGTGGCTTTATCAATTTCCGTATCATACCCGGCCTTTGCAATCAATTCCTGGAATTTCGTGTAGTTGTTGCGTTTCAGAGCTTCGTTTGCGTATAATGCTAAAGAAAAACTTAATTGTTTAAAATCTGATGTTAATAATACCTGCAAAATTACCGTTTTCTGGAATCAAGACGACATCGATCAAATGAATTACTCCATTTGTACCCATAATATCGGTCTTCACGATCTTTGCGATCTTTTCCAAAGAAAGTCCCCAGGCGCTCCTCTGTATCAACAAGTTATTTCCATCCAAATTTACGGCAGTGGCATTTTCGATAATGAAACTCGAACAAATCGTGTTTCTGATCATATGGTGCCTCAGGACATCTATAGAAATGAATATATATTATTACATTATAATTCAAAATTTCGAATGTCTTACTTCTAGCGCACGCGTTTCCATTCACCAACATATCTTTGTCTTTCAATTTATCGAAAGCTTCATTTGTTGGTGCAAAGATTGTGTAGTGTCCATCTTCCCTGATGTATTTAGTAACATTTACAGATTCCATCACTAAAAATAAATCGAATAAATCAAAATGATGTACAATTGTTATTATAAATGAATAATATTTTACTTTTCCAGAATGATGAGAGATTTGGATTATTTTCGATTATTTCGGTGACGCTTTTTGTTACTGGTTTCATCACCTCGTCGATGATATGAACGATAGAGTTCTTTCCCATGTTGTTAGCTTTCGACACTTTGATGCAATTCGCCCAAGTCATACCATAATATTGATTAATTCTGATCTTTGTGTCTTGGTATTCAGTTTCCAAAAGCTCTTCGTTTTCTAAATCGTGAATATTGTACAAGCCTTTAACAATGTGACTTTTAGCCAAATCATTTCCTTTGATGCTCTTTGATTCAGGCTGATGAGTCTAGAAATAAGTTATTAAGATTTATCAAATTGTTTTTGGATTTTTAATATTATTCTCAATCTAAAGTTTTTAAAGAAATACATACAACGCTATTTTGTTCCTCTTCGAAAGATCCAATAGTATCATCGTTGGGCATGAAAATAGTATAATTGGAGCTTTCGTAGTAGTCAGAGTCGTCCAAAAGATCTTTGAAAACATTTCCCTTGAGTTCAACCAAAGTCTCGTTAAGTGATTTCAAATCCATTTTCATATTGCATCCATTTGAGCCATATCTCTTGCCATATCCATGGCAGCATTTGTAACGAACAATTAAAGTTTTCAAACTGCCATGATTGTTCAATCTGCAAAGCAAACAGCATAATAGTAAAAGCATTCACAAACTGGAGAATGCAATAAAACTCACTTTGTAATACATTCGTGCTTGTGATCGGTAGAAACACAGCTGTATCTGGTGAGTGTTGAAACGAAAGACCTTTCTTCTGTTGTGTTCTTTTTACCCTCGTCCGTGTTATCATCATCATCGGTCGTTTCGATGCGCTCCACGCAAACGTTCTCTCTGCAAAGTAAAATCAGTTTTCGTTCGAATGTTTGTTTCACAATTTTTGAGGTCAGCAAGTTTATTGAACTTGCATTATTTAGATGCCTCCCGCTAAGTGATTCGAGTTAATCAGTTCAATAGCAAGATTTATAAATACGATTTCAAGATCACCGTGAATTTGGGCTAAAAGAGTCACGGTTAGAAAGTCTTTCTACACCCGTAAACTTGACCTTTCGTTAAAAGCAAATAAAGATTAAAGCAAAATGTTGTAAATGGACGTTGCAAAATGGCTCATCTTTTATTTCAATGCCACTGTGGGCCGAGAGAAGAAAACAAAGAGATCTTACTAATTTGTCGCCGTTGCGCAAGGAAAAATAGTACAAAAACAAACAAAGACAATTAACAATTAAGTCGATTTACATAACACGTATTCTCTCTCGTTAGAGCAGATTTGCACTAATTTAAATTTGATTGCACAAGTAATAATCATCATTACGCAAGTTCGAGATGATTATTCTGTTAGATGTAATGCTTTCGGCAAATAAATGAATCAAGTTGAAAACGTCGTCCGTCAAAAGGCAAACATGGTATTACGACGATGTGCCGAGTCCCGTTAATCGTTCTAAAAGAAAGATTACGGCATCTGCGAAAAACGGTCTCAGATAACACGAATGCAACTCAAGTGCATTCAACTGAAGAACTCCGTGTAACAATGCGAATCCTCTTACCCTTTCCACCAAGGTTGGCTAGGTGCGAAGTTGAAGTATCCTCCGATTCCCAAGAACTGATTTCCATCAGTATTTCCCAAACCTAAGCCGAATTGTCCATTGAATGGGGCGAATGGAAAGTTAGGTCTGTTTGCGTCAATGTCCACGACGCCTCCAGGTAGAGGATTGGAGTCCAACGTCGCCGGATCCTGAAAATCTGGACTCAGAGGTTCCCTACTTTCATCCGACCTCCCAGAAAAGTCGTCACTGTTCCAATTCCAATGAACATGATCTCTGGAAAAATCGAAAAATATATCAAAAAAAATTAAAGCGACAAAATGACATCGGAAGCCTGTGAAAGTTTATTAATTTCTCTTCATTTCTATGCCCTCAATCCAGGCACATAACAATATGCCTACATGTAAAAAAAAAAATGTTTATACATATTTTTTTCCATATGAAGATCAAAATCAAACTTCTACGACCTCGAAATTGTAATGAGATCTATCAAATTTCACAATCTCTATTTTGCTTTCCGTTTTCAAATCATACATTTCACCATATAATTTCGCTTCGAATCTATCAAAAATTTTAATTATGTAATTAAACTATAATTTTAAAAAAAAATGCATCCCGATTTTAAATTAATCTTTGCATCGTGAAAGTGCGGTTATATTTTTTTCTGCTGATTACGAACTGGAGCCACGCTCTTAATTGAATACTGAAGTCGTGACACAGAATTAAGACCTTTCTAAAATTTGCCATGCAAAAATTGAACCTCGCCAAGCGAGTTTATCATCATTTTAGCTTCCTTTATTTTTTATTTGTTAAATATGTGAGATGCGAACCGTGACATTAATAACATAATCTTCTAAAAACTTAACTACTTTCTGTGAGGCGCGATGTAATTTGAATTTAGGAAACTGACCTTGGTCTAAGTTATTGTTATTCTGCGGATGAACATAGTCTGTATTAGGTTTGAAAGATTCCATCATAGAATGTTTATTGCATTTGCATTTTAGATTCATGCATATTAACATTAATTCTTGTTGTATCCATATCGAGTTGTTAGTCACTATTCATGTATGATTCAAATTTATTAAATAATAAATGAATGTTGTCATTTGCATTTTTATTTAGATATTAATTAAAAAACGAATTAAATATCATAAAATATTTTATAAATATTATTTTCATTCCATATTTGCATTTACGGGAAGAGGAAATATGTTAATAATACAGGTTTATTTTTTCGTCTAAATGAAATAAACAAAACATTCATAAATCTTGAATTAGACAATTTTAACATAAATTCGTATTTGACAATAGACTATTTAATAAATATTTCTTATGTGTGCAATAAATTCTATGTTTTTAATTAAAATATAATATTTCTTCAGATAAAGAAATACATTTTTATTCATTTTCAATGCGTTGTAGTCGTATGTTGTGAGTGAAGGAACCTGTTTGTGAGGACATATATGTACTTGATGAAAAATGTGGGAAAGAAACGTTTTACAAAAGATTACTCTCAATGTATTAGTAAATACATTCTAATATAAAATGTAATAGTAATGTTTTGTAATAATAATTGAAATCGGTGAACTTTCATATTGTTATAATAAACCTGAATGTGTGAGAAAAGAGCGTAGGAAACGAGAAATATTTAAAATTCAAATTACATTATTGTTAAAACTTTCGATTGTGTATATAAAGGTAGACCCAATTTCCTTTTCTCAAATAGGACATGGTTTTTACCTGACAGAATGACTGAGTGCACTCTCTTTTTAATCAGTACAAAGGTATTTTTACTTAAATATATATAAACTCTGAAAATATTACAGTTTTAGTTTAAATACATGTATTTTCTAGAATTGTTGTATTATTTCTAAAATTAAGTTTAGTATAATATTGTTATATTTCAGTATATTTATGAATTATTTTAGTTATATAAGATAGTTTATTATAATATATTTATGAATTTACCCATAGTTGCATGTAGCAGTGACAAAAAGCACCGCAAACACCGAAAATCTCAACATTTTACAAGAACAATAATCACTTGGGCTTAGCTGTTAAATTGTGCACACTCGAAGACTAAGTCAAAACTGTCTGAGCCAGACGTAGTGGGAGTGCGTTTTATACAAAACGGCTTAAGCAAGTCGGGATGATGGTGGGAGCAAGTTCACCCAATGCTCCTCACACCGTTAGATTCAATAAATATTTTGACTCTTATTATTTTTTTCTGTTACACTCGTATCTCCTCTTTCGCCGATCCATGTTTATGATTGATAATCAAGATCAAGGAGAACATCCAGAATGTTCCACAATTGGAGTGAATCGCTCTGCAGATTGGTTAATCTCGCTCCGTCTTTGTTTCGAATTGAACGTGACCACTTCGGATGCGCAATTTAATTGGAAAATTGCACAAAATAATTGGACGGCATTATCATTACCATCCCAGTTTCCTTCTTGCCATTTTGCTTCGTTTATCTCCTAATTGTTAAATTAAACAACATCATGCATAAACATTTCGTAGAAAGTGCAAAAATTTCTTATATGACTCACACATCTTTTAGCAAAAATATTGATTGTCCTAATTGGAAAATGTATTTTAAACAAAATAAATATTAGCAAATTAGTAAACTCGTTAATGACTTTAGAGGAAACAATGGAACAAAGCAAAGTAAAATTCATATTTACTGCATGTAATAACAATTAAACATTGGTAACTTTAAAATGCTAAACTTAACTTAAATTATTAATAATATGCGAAATTGTATTATTAATAGTTTAACAACATATAGAATAATATTATATGTACAAAAAGGCCGTTGACCTAAAATGCAACTAAATATGTTCATAATAAAAACATTTTTTTTTTAAACTAACATTGTGTACAAAATATATATTAAAATACATAATAATCATCATCATTTCCAGTTGAATCCGTTGACCTTCTTACATTCACACTATTTTTTATTTTCGCAACTTAATGGCGTGTACAACTGTAATTTTGTTTTAATTATAATAGTTTGCGTTTAACATTTTTGTTACCTTTAAATGCGTAATGTTAAATTGTGCATCACGCAACAAGGTTTCATCTGGAAACGTCTCTCCACAATGAAACAGAACTGCGTGGAAGAATCAAGGCTAATAATAGAACGTGCGATAATAACATAAAAAAAGGGTGTTTGCATCACAGGTAAATCAATGCAGACGGTAGGCTATAATTTCAATTTCAGTTTGCATTGTACGATTGCAAATCTTAATTATAAGAAAATTAATGCTGAATGTAGATACATAAGAGACCTCGTGCAAAATTAGACTTATCATCGGTAAGGACATCAAGACCAAAAGTTTTTTTTTTGTAATTATGAATTGTATATCATTATATTTATTAAAATATCAATTAAAAGTTTAAATTTTATAAGATGCATAATTTATTGCTTAATTAATTTATTTAATTCTTGTCATATTTACTAAAATATCATTGATTTGATTGAGTTATTATGAATGAAACTCTTACAATATTTATTAGTAATTTTGATCGACATCTTTTAGCCAGTGACAAAAAATAACTAGTAAAGTTTAATATATATAAAGTATTATTGGTGTTTTATACGAATAGCTCATATCGTCTTTAAATGTTATCCACTTGGTTTTTGTTTCTCTATTTTCTAAACAACCGGATCGGAGCTGCAGCAAATTATTTTCCGTCACGCAAGATTTGATATATTGCAATTAAACGCGTTTCCACAATTCGAAATCTTATTGCCTTTGCAGATCGCATCAAAAAGAATTGTTGTTTGTGTTTGAAGGAAATATCAAAAGTTTTATTGAAATGTATTTATTATTATGAGGATCACATTTGCAAATAATAATAAATTGCTTTGGTTTATCGATAAATAATTCTTGTTTAAGCGAAGACTCGTCCACTTGCCGTCCCCAATATCACAGTACTTGATAACCCTGGATTCATAGAATATTATTTACAATTCGGTTTTATCAGTAAGAGACTATGATTATTATGTTTTGTACAGAAATGTATTTATAGCTAAATTGCATATTATATTTATACAATTATTAAGGAAATTAAATACAGTGAAACCTAGATTAACGATCACCTCGCATAACGAACATTTCGCTTAACGAGCAAAATAAATTGTAGGAAAAATGACTCGCAAAATAGAATGCATTAAAATTGTTTTGGAATGGATTCAACAAAAATACGAAAAGGAAAGAACAAAGAATTAAGTGAAAAGCTATTATAATAGATGAAAATGCTTGAAATTAGTCACTGTACAGTTTTTAGTACTCATTAATCATTTACTGTTATGAGGTTAACGTTTATTATCTCAAACTAAGGAAAAGATTATTTGGGTTGAAGGTAAGTGGTCATATATTAAAGTGCAATTAGAATAGATGTGAACAAAATGACTGGACTCAATCACTGTATTGATTGTTTCTATAGAAAATTGAGTACTCAACAAATATATTTCAATTTCTGATAATTTTCTTCTTTGTTTATAAGAAAAATACAGTCAATAAAACTAATTTACAATTAACATTAGTTATTTTTTTAGTAGTATCTGAAAATTCTATAATTACGTATTAGGTTTTATAAGATTATACAAAACTATTATTATATTTGGAATTTTATGAATTCATAAATTGTATCAGTAATATCTTATCAGCAGAACTATAACAAATCTGAAGCGCCTGTGGTAAGTCTAACTTGCGCCACCTAACACAAAAATGACAAAATAAATTAAAAGTTAAATTTAAATTTTAAATTATTTACAGTTAAGCAACAACATTTATTGATTTATCGTCTTGTTTTGGAAGAGAAACAATTAACTTATTTTTAAACCAAATATCTGAACATTTGGACTAAACTTGATATTAATCTAAGAATTCATATACTAGTTCCGTTCCAAAGGGTTGTAAGTCGAATTTGTTCGTAAGTCGGAGGAATTTAAAAAAAATTCAAAATAGTACATCTTCCAAAAATATTATATTTTATTAAATAAATTATCAATTTTTGTTTGGCCAATTAATTTTGTTATCACTATATATCACCTTGTTACAAGTTAGAGCTTTTAGAATATTGTTCGTAAGCCCTGGAGTTCGTAAGTCGGGGGATACATGTATTACAGAGAAAAATGTTATGGTTTCTCAATTATAATGAAACTACATACTATAAGAATAAGTTCAGAATGTTGCACCTCTTAAATCTTCACATATTATTTATATTAAAATTTTTGAAACTCCATAACTGTATACTATAGAACCAAAATCATTTGCTAATTGTTTGGTAAATAAGTAGTTTACAGTAGTGTTAGTTCTGACTTTCTGCCGGACATTCATTTTTATAACTGTATTTTTACTTAAACTGTATCTGTATTTATAAACATTAGTTTCAGACATATTAATTCCAAATAACCGAGAAGTATTACCATCATATTTACTCTTTTTATGAACATACATACAAATATTTAACGGGTTTCTCCAAACTGAGTCATTTTGATAACAATTGTTAAAAGCATCGTTTAAATATAGATGATAAAACATGTATATCATAGATTTAAAGCACACTCACTAATTGATCAATGACTAATTGTTAGTATTAATCATTATAGTCTGATTCATATTTCTAATCAGTCAAAAATTTCATTCAATATTTGTTTTTGTAATTAAATCATCATCAGTTTAAAGATGCAATTGCGAATCACTGCATCTTTTTAGTTATTAATACTTAATAACTTATGTAAGTGATATTTTGATGATTTGATAGATTTCAGTCATTTTCAATTAAAACCATGTCTAAACAATTGTGATTAGGTCAGGTTAATCTCGTTGGAAAATGGGAAATTATTAAGTAGCTTTAATAAAAATGCTTTAGATAATGAAACCAATTATTAAGACATGTAAAAATATTTTTATTCAAATTTTATCGATCATAAAGTCTGTAATAAATTCAAGAAATTACTTCGTAAATATACATAATAAAAAGATTCTAAAATAGCTATGTACAAATAACATAAAATTAATTTAAAAACAAAAACAACTAGTTTTCACATTAATAATATAATTGTTTTTGATTGAATCTAATAGAAATCCAAAAATTTAATTTAAAAATAAAATAATCTAAGAGATAACATGTAATGCTCAAAATAAAAAAAAATCATTTGTTGTCTTTGTATTTTGTTGTTTAAAATTTCTATCACAGTACGATATACTTATATAGTTCAAAGATTGTAACTTCATTATTTTTTTTTTCTTCTTAGTAGAATCCGGTGTGTATACAAGACGGGTAAACGAACGAACGAACAAACATCGCGCAATTGAATAAAGAGACAAATGAGTTAAATTACAATGGAATGATGCGTGTGTTTTTTTTTGAGAGGAAGGAAGGCACTATTATATTTCATTCTTTTTTTTGTTTTCATCGTTTTGTAGTTGTGGTTTGATGTTTTCGTTTGTAACCATTCGCATTAAAACTTAAAAACTATTTTTAAAAGTAATCATATTAATTAATATTCTTTAAAATTTAAAAAGAAATTCATCACATGTGTATCGTTGCAGCTGTGTAACGCGCCTCGCCGCGTCGCCAACTCCATTGGCTCGGACGATACTGTAAACGAAAACGAAGTTAATTAACTTTTATTAGTTTAATTGATTGCTAAAGTGGTTTACCCTAATTAACATCTGTCCACTTGTGGTGTGCGGATTTCTGTACGCGTACATTATCCACACTCCGAGAGCGGCGACTAGGGCCACAATGAAGATCAAAGGGATAATACTTGAAACGTTCATGTGTACTGGAGACGTGGCCGGAGGCAGCACTTTAGATTCATTCTGAGTTATTTTGCTAGTCTTCATCGGATCATCATCGACGTGCACCAAGTTACTATCGTCGTGGGTGTAAGAGAGATCGTGGTCATCGTAATTCTCCGTTGGAAACACGGCCGAGCATTCTGTGCTGTTCTTCACCACCTTCTTATCGCAACTCTTGCTCAACCATTCCTGCTTGTTGCGATCGATTCCGTCCGAGCACTTGTTTAGGGTCGGACACCAAGTACACTGAATACAACCAAAATTAAGCATTCACATTAAATTATTGCATTATATTGATCTCACCTTGAACGAAGGTATTTCTTTGGTAAGACAAGTGGTGCAGTCTTTCATCGTAGGGCAAGTTGGTAGAGCCTTCAAATAGATTACAGTGCCGTTCTTGATGTCCTGCTTACGGAAGTTGACACGGTGGTATTCATAAATCGTCTTACGACGGACGACTACAAATTAACATATATTTAAACAACATCCGAACACACTTAATATTTAAGACTTACAGAAAATGGTCCTATCGATGATATAAGCATCCGATAATCCAACTTTAACCGGGTGATGATCATCCTGGATATTCTCAATAATAACCGGTACATTTTGGTATACAAACACTATATCCCCGTTACTATGTAGCGTCGCTTGGAATGTAAATTTACCCTCATTCGGACTTTCTTGCAATAAAACATTCTCCCATAGAACCGTCAATGCAGTTCCTACAACGAAATAACGATAATCACTTAATGGTAACTATTAAATTTTTTAATGGTATTTTACCGTTGTCTACGTATTTTATGTAGCTGTCATTGGACAAACTCGTGTCAAAATTGGCCATGAGTGGAGCGATATATTGGGTCGCCGCCAACCATGAATGAACGTAGTCTCCAGTATAGAGAAAACCTCCAGTTGCGATAGTAACATTCCTGAGTATATGCCCATAGAAAGGAAACTCAAAATTTAGTTTTACAGTCTGAAACATTAAAGACACAACAATCAATAATTACGTAACAATTGATCAACATCATTATCTACTCATAATAAATATTGATGTTCTTCCAAATAAATGAAATCAGATTTTATCAGATTATGAATGTTTGTTTGTTCAATAATTGATTATAGTTGAACACGAAATGTAGAATCTTAGTAAAAATCAACACACAAAAATCCTATAAGAGCTAGTCATAACAGAAAAACTCGTTGAGATAATGCATCTCGCTAAGTGGTAATGTCGATATGCTCCGAATACGTAACATAGAGTCACAAAGATTAAAAAAAAATAAGCTTTTAATATATATATCATGGCAAGACTAACTGAAAGAATTTTCAAAATCCATTAACTCCATTTATGAAGAAGAAGAAAAATTAATTTAAAATAATAAAGAATGCTCCAACTCTTGATAATTATAATCTCGAAAATCTATAAATCACGTTGATTATTTTTTTTTATAATTAATTAATGTTCTTGATATATTCCACAAGCTGTTTATGAGAAAGAAAAAAAGCAAAGCAGTTGCGTTTTGCTTGAGGCAAACTAATCAAAGGTTTGTTCTAAATAAATAATTGTTATTTTCGAAAGAAATTATATGAGAAAGAATATACTTACGGCAGCTCTTCTGTGGGACGTTGAAAGCAGCTCGCTCACTTTCACATTATTCATATTATCAGTCATATTCACCCAATAGACATCGCCCGTTGTCGAATCAGTTTTTATAGAGCTATTGTAATATTTATGATTATCCTGAAACATAATAACAAATAATGAATACACATCGATAGTCAATGGAGGATATAATAAATCAGCCTTTTTCAAGAAAGTTTCCAAAAGAAAGCAAAACTGTGCATCGATTCTATATGAATCATCATACCGTTTGAGTAGTTTTGATGTTGTGCTGCTTCAAGGTTTCGTTGAAATTGATTGTACTATCCGAGAACTTGCTTATCGAGATATCCTCTTCGTCCTCGCCTGTCTGGTTATTATTAGCAAATGGATGTTCAGTAGAAACGTATGTCGGCGGAGGCAGCGGAATCTTTTCCGTAGTCATATTATCTTCCGTTCCATTATTAACCGCATCAGAGGCCAAAACTAAATTATCCTGAAACGAGAGACGAACACTTGATATTCGCACATGGTATTTGTTGATGTCATTCAATACGCATTAGCGTTTCCATTCTCTGCATTTGAAGAACAATTCGAATCTCAATTAGCAATAGTGCTTTACCTGAGGTGTAGTTTTGGCCGGAGGCGTCGTCGTCGGCGGAAATTTGTTTTCCTTGACTAGCGGATCCCGATCTTTCGTCGACCTCTTCTGTACATGATGTCCGTTTTGCAGTGACAAAGATACGTAAGAGTCGGATTGGCCAATTCCATTGTATAAATAGTAATCTGTTAAGAGAAAATTTAAATTAAATAAACGATACGAGTGTACAAAATAAAAAAAAAATATATTAATCCAAGATTTGATGAATCATTCCTATATACGCATAGTGATTGGCTTTCACATTTCTTTTTATTTGTTGTTTTAAAGTGGGATGATGTATTACGAATCAAATGAGATCGATCTGCTTCGAAGCGTAAACTATTCAATTTTTTATTTCTTTCTACTTGGATGAAGGTGGTATTTGGAGTAAGTAGGTGAAGTGGCCATCCCAGGAAATGAACCGAAGATCCGGTGGGTTTTATTGTAATGACGCAGCCAGCATTAACAATGAGGGACCCCCATCGGAAGACGTGTCCACAATATTAGCTAAACGCCTCTTACACACCGTGTGACTTGCATAAGCACGATCATCATTACATATACACACGATCGCATTTTGAGACGGAAGTCGGATCTTAAGCAGATCTACTGCACAGCTCGTGCATGGAAGAACAGGAGAAGAAGAGGCTCAGCACATAATCGACCTTGTTCTATTCATATTCGAATTCGCCGTGTTCCTTCTTTTTTTTTACCTCCGCAACGTATATTTCGTGTGCTCGCATAGCGTGAACATTACGATACCAAAGTTTGCGCCGACGTCGTGTATCAGGGCCGTTGACCCTACATCTGCATTATTATTACATTGATTGATTCCATTAACTGTTAACTGTGTAGAATTAGAAGAAACATTACACCCTGAATACATTTACATTACAATTCTGCATCCTAAATTGTTTCAAAAATAAATAAATTGAAAAAACACTACCTAATATTCAATTCTAGGAAACTTGCATCGAGGATGTTTTACAAAAGAAAACAATATGTGGACACGCATTATTAATCATCAGAATGGAATGCTTAAGTTCTTTCTAAAAACCGTAAATATATTATTACCGTGAAATGAAACGGAAAGAGTTCCATAGCTCCGAGGTAAGGGAAAAACTATTATAACAACATTTGCTACAAGAAATGTATATCTTTGGAATGTTTCTTCCTTGTATAATTATGACTTTTATTTAACATGGTATAGAAGTAGAAAGATTATTTTCACATTAATTCATTTAATAACAAGAGCAAATATATTTGTACTGATTTCATTCATGACAAATCTAAACCAATACACACGTAATGCAGATGTAATAATAAATATTCATATATGAAAGTCTTTAAGTACTAAAACACCAATTGTTAAGTCAGTCTAATAATAAATATTGAGCGATTAGGATGTTCGAGTTAATAATAACTAACCTTGGTCAATACAAAAAGAATCTGTGAAATGCTTGATAACGAACGTCGGTGTTCCAATATTTCGGACATTTCATTCAAGTATACAAAACAAGATGTAGTAGGTAAGCTCAAGGACGAATTGATTAAATGCTCCCATGTAAATAAGCAACGAGTGTACAGCAAATCGAAGTCCTGCTAATGCAAACTTTACAATGCAGATTCCTCTGTTTCAAATTGACGACAGTGTTTCTTCTACGCATTCTTCTCCCCCTTCAGTTGATTGATATTCAAGTACACGCGAAGCACATTTAGAACAATTGGCATAAAGTCGTATTACACAGCACACTTAGTGCATTGCGCAACTCTACTTCTTACCAAATTGATCGGTGCTACAATCTAGCACATATTACTTGCAACGCATACATTTTTTTGAAACTAGACTTAGTGAATTCTTTTATTTGTACGTTCAAATTAAAATAGACATATTAGTAACAAATTGGAAAACAAAATACAAAGAACCGCATCCTTTGCGGTTTACATATATGAAATTCGAATTATTTGTTTCATCATCAATGATGAACACAAACAAAAAGATGTAAATAACTCTTATAAATTGATAAGAATCATGATATTCATAGTGATAGTTTTCACAATAATATCAAGAACGGAATGTTGAATTCAAGGTGAGAATTTGCTATAAGGAAATTGTATGAAATATTTAAAAAAAAAAGAGTAATGAAATTGACGTGAAGAGCAAACGTGTTTTATACGGTTAAATGTCGGTTTTTGTCGACCTCGATTATGGATTTTTTTGCAGAAATCTCCTTGGCCATGGCAAAAACCTTAATGTAAGACGTCATTAAAACATCCATGTTCGTGCTGTGATGGTGCAAAATCTCAATTATAAATAGTTTATTTAGTTGGAAACGTTTTTAAAACGCCCACATAAACATATAGTCGCCTTAAAAAAATGTGAAAAATGCCACCGCGAATTATATTTACGAAAGTCCATGTATATTTCAGCCAAAATGAAGTAAATTTCTATATTAAGAAACACCGAGATATAAAAAAAAAAGTCCAAATGGAAGTAAAAGAAAAGTGCAATCAAATTAATTAAAAAAATAATTAAAGTAATTGTTATTATAAATTAAAAAAACTATTTGCAAAATGTTATTGCTATTAGATAAAAAAAAAAGTGAATGTTGTAAACTGGTTTTAATTAGCAGAAAGCAGCAATTACAACAATAGGAAAACAATTAGCATTATTAGTCATTGTAGACAACATAAATAATCGTGCATTATAGAAAACTAGCAAAGGAAACTATCCCAGATAACGTCTTCGTCATTTGGGACATTCCATCTATTTACGTAATTTAGCATCAATTGCAACAATTGAATGATAAATTGGTGATCGTTTAAGGTAATTATATCTTTAATATCATTACTAATTATCGAATATGGGTCACGGCGAAATTGCATCAATGTATTGTTTGCGCTTTGATTTATTAAAGGAAGTCCACACGATTCTGCACCGTTTGAAAAGAGCAAAAAAAAGGAGTCGGTGTGACGTAAAACGGATTTCGATTCGCGTAATTTATTTATGATTTGTTTTTTATTGTGTTTACACTTTTTTGTTGTTGCTGCTGCTGCAGAATGATGAAAGCTGGTGGCTAATAATGCTACCATCAACAAGAATGGAAAATGCAGCCAGGTGTAATTACATTCGTAATTAAAGTGAAACTCTGACGGTCTGGACAAAACGAGAACCGAACTTTTTGGGGAGCAAAAAACAATAACTTTCACGATCGCAGTTCCTGGAAATATATTGAGTGAGTGGAAGAGAGAAGGAAATTACGGTTGTCTGTGTGATGCAAATCAGGTAGAAAATCCTGCAGAGTAGCGTAGGTTTGCACGGGTCTAGCTGGAGCCCACATGCATAGAACCACAACCATTGCTTTCGAAACGGATTATTTCGAACAACACCTGGTCGGATGCAGCCCAAATGGATCTTCCTGCAGCGAGAGGATAAATCTTATAGGCTTTTCGAGACGGCCGTCTGTTTAACAGTAAATTTCGGTGACGTTAGTTTACTAAACTCATTACGGACTTTACGATAATGAGACTTGAAATGGTCCGTTGATATTCGAGTAAACAGACTGTAATAAGGAAACTGAGAAATTCCATGTAAGAAGGATAGTCGAAATGGGTTGGATTTACCACCTATTTATGCGTGGCGCCGACAGCCACTGCTAAATATAAAGTCGCCGAACGGGTTTATTATATAGCTAAACAGAATAAAATTATATGAATAACAACAAAAGAAAATGGATACAATTAACATGGATTCGGATACAACGGAAACCCGAATTTCCGTAACTCGCAAATGCCTGCCTGCATCGCTCATTGATATACATATATATATCGCAATCAGTTTTCGTCATACACTTCCTTAGTTGGGATTATTTAAATTAGCATCAGACTATTGTCATTCTAATAATTCCTAAACAGATCTGACGCGTATGGACATATTTATATTCATGAACTCGTACGTTGTTTTAATCGCACATTTATAATCGAATATTGTTACGTTCATGATAACAATTCATAGATTTCTTCTAAGATTATCACAATAACTTTAAGTACAATTTTCACTTATCATCAATGATATTAATTTCATTATATTACTGTATAAGTAATCCAAATACAGTGTTATGAAGAAAACCAAAGACTGTGAAGCGAAAAACTTTCTAGTAATTGCAATATCTAATTATCTATTAAAATGTAATTAAAAGAAAAATAGTAATGAAAGTGAATTGATCACGTACAAGGTTCTTTCATTCATAAATTGAAAGTATCCGCATCTATAAATTTAATCTTGTTTATTTTCTTCTTATTTTTAGAGTTTCTAACGTATTATGAAAACAAATAATTATTCATTGCTAATTACTTGCTGCAATTGTAATACAATAAACACAATTTGTTGCTATGTTTGATATCGTGTTTGAGTAGAAATAAAATCAAACAATGTGCCATTAATCATTGAAAACAATAGCTGAAAACATTTGGTACAATGTTAAAAATCTCATTTTTTTAAGTTTTTATTTTGAAATTATTGCAGCTCAAAATTGTCAAATAATAAATGCTGATTAAAAAATACACAGTAATTGTGTTATAATTTCGAAAATACGAAACGTGCAGTAGACTTATTTTTTGTATTAATTATGACTAATTTCTACATTTTCAACCACTTATTTGCATACCAAAATCTGTCGATCATTTATGAACAATGTCTGTCCTGTTTTCAATGAAAAGTGACTCATAAATTATAAGTTATATCAAATTATTGTTCAATACATGTAATCTATAAAAAAAAAAGTGGACAAATAATCTCATAACAGTTACTAGCTAGTTTAGAGATACAAGAAAAAGACAGTTTCATGACTCATCATTAAAATAACAATTTAGCGGTCGCCAGTTTCCCAATATGCTTTGTACTAAACACTTTGATCACATCATGTTTATTTTTTTGCATATTACATTCACTCTTTTGTACGATCATCATTTACTCATCTATGATGGGAAAAGCTCGCTTATGATCTGTATGATCGCAAGTTCAAATGAGGTTGTAAATACGGGCATGAACCCGAGGAACGTCCAAACTAAAAAAAGAGTTAAATATTCGATTATACGATGTAGTTTCCTGTTAGAAATGTCAATGTCATTGTCATGTAGCTGTGTGCGTTATTATATATACGGTATTAACTATTAAAATATTCCATTACATTCATTATATTTCTTCAAACGTTGAATTGCATTACCAGAGGAGACTGGTCGCAATTCCATGAATATACAAGTCACTTTTTTTGTTGTTGTTGCAGCAGCAGCAGCTTCGATCATTATTAGTAGCTGTGATCGTTCGGAGAGGTTTGTTTCTTTCTACGTGGCAAAAATACGGACGTCGTTCTCAGATATACGGAGTCGGAAAAGAGGAGAAATATTAATTAATGTAATCGCAATCGCCGACAAGAATTGCAGAATGTAAGAGACGTACAAGGTCGGTCAAATTAAGGCAGTAAAACGTTCAACGATTGTTGTATTCCTTCTTTGCACGCCATTTAAAACAGAACGAAACGTTCGAAGTGAAACAAACGAAAAGGAAAAATGTTGACCGGTACGAGGTTCGTGTGTACTTTGCCATCATCCATTTATGGTCAACGGCATCACTCATAATAATTTACTATATTTTTGTTTTGTTTAAATCACCGGCAAACGACTCCACTAAAACCATATGCCGTAACGGCACACTTTGAAGAACACATTTGCTCTTTGTTGCGTACATTATTTCGTTGTTACACCGTATTACATACAGGAACTCATTATGTTCATGCTCGAAAATGAAAGAACAAAAGTCTCTGCGACACGTCGACAATAACTTTAACAAAGCTCCCAAATATTTTCTTATCAAACTTATATAAATTAAAATAAATCATAAAATTGCTTTTAAACAATATAATAAAGTAGCAGGCATATTTTTAAAATTTAATACATAATAAGCAATATTACGCAAAAGAGGGCCGAAAGACAAAGTTTAGCAAAATAAGTAGATATTGATGATAACAAAAAAATGTAATTTGTCTTTGATTCACACAAAATGTAAATATTAGGAAATTTATTTTTTAAATAAACATCATTTATGGAAACATCTTTTTCGACAATAAAAAGAGATAATTGTATCCTATTTTCGATATATCATGGAACGGGTAATCGATTTTTCCAATATTCCTGTTTGAAACCGAACTTTTAAATCGCAGAATAATAAACAGCTCGGACTTGGCGTGTAGAAATAAAAACGATCATTTATGTACGAAAAACTCTATTATATTCTATTATGTATAATTGGTGTAAATTTATTTAATTGGATATAAAATTAATTGGTTAGTTCTAAGTAGAATAAAAATAGAATTTACAAAGTGTAATACACAAGAAAAATATATTATTTCTGCACGTACACCTACGTGGAGATTAGATCGTGTACTGTAGTTTATTTTGAAAATGCCTGCAAGTCCTATTTTTATTCGTTTCGATATATTTAAAAGTTTAGCAGCTGAACTTCGGTTCGCTGGATTATTTTTAATGCAACATTTCTTTTAAAGCATTTTTATTCACTGATATTTAATACAATTTTTAAAGAAGATAACATTTAAGTTTGTACCATAAAAATAACTTATATTACCAACAAGTTGATTCCATTTAAGTAAATTATTTATATAAGAAATTAATCATATTTGTCAGAAAATAATTTTGTTTACTCTATATAAATAACTTAAAGTAAATAAATAACTGAGTTTTTGTTATGTACTTTTTTTTAATTATAAATATTTTAAAACAAAATTTATAGTTGCTATACCTCGCATAGTGCGGAACTGTTTGAAACCGTACAAATCGAGGAATTAGACTTGATTAAACCAAAATCATCATTTATGTATATATTGTGTGCACTAAATTTTAAGATTTTTTTTATTTTGTTAAAATTTTATTTTGAAATTATAAACCGGACTATAGTGAATCCGGACTGATCGAAGCTGCACTATACGATGAATTACTGTACTTTAATTTACGTTATAAAAAAAAGTTTCTTAATGTTAATACGATGTAATTTGTAATAAATACTATAAATAAATAAAGCATTGATTAAGAGATCAATGCTGCTGCAGATTGGGGTCACAGTCATATACTAAAAATATCAAGTTGCCATCGAAACGGGATCATTTCCCTATTAAAAAAAAAGGAACGTTACCACTCGTTTATTGAATTGATACTAAAACGTCCTAAACAATTTATCTTGAGTTGAGTTGAAATCAATCTGGTTTTCTTTCTTTTCTAATTATTTAATTAATGGACATCATTATCGGAATAATGTTATCTGCGAGTGCAGTAAATCAAAAGTCAAATGCGAACCGATTAATCATTTTCTTTCAACAATTAAAACGTTCGTATTAAGAGTGTTGACCGTAGGTCATTTAACCAGACAGGAACTTTTGATGTCGCTGATTTTACATGGGAATGTCATGCAAATTAGAAATTGAGATTTCCTCTTAACTCGAAAATACTTTATTTGAATATGCAATTAACTAAATAATGCATAGTTGCAGCAGTGTAGATCACATATGGTCGAAAGCTCCCCTAACTTTATTCTATTAAGTAAATATTTTCATATTTAATAAACAACATAGAAAGCTCTGTTTGTTTGCTTTTAAAGTATAAAAAAAAACGACGTAGCATCTACACAGAAAATAAATCCGTGTGTAAATACTGTAAAAATAAAATGCATACAATTTTTAAAATCGTAGACTTTTGGAATTTGAACGTGAAATTATAATAAAAAAAAAACTCTGATATTTTCAGACTTAGAATACGAAAATTTCGGTGGATTAATTAAGGCTTTAACAGTTGCAAAATATTTAAAGGTTCCTTTAATTGCAGATAACGCAGAGAGGAGGATGGGTTTGATTGGAGGTGCACGTATCTCCCGTCTGCAACAGGATTTGACATCTCTGCATGCAACAAGTGTTTCGTTCGAAGCAGTTCGCAAAGAAAGTTTGCGCAAACTTCTCGTGATCCTACCTTTCGAGGTGGCACAGACCACCTGAATAGTCCAAAACGTAAGGAGGCACACACTTAAACAGTCACACACCGAGCTAAATTTCGCCATTTTTGTTTTGCGCTAGTAGTGAGAGTGTGGATCCACTAATGCCTCAAACACAACATGTCGCACAAAAACAAATGATTCTGATGAGCGACGATCTACGCTCCACTCGCACCGGTACAGGTGTAACAACCTTCAAGTGATACACTCAGGATTGCCACACAAAGCACAATTCATCATTCTATCCCCACTTGACGCTCTCAAAACAATTCAGTTAACTCAGTTCTACTGTTCATTATCGCATCTCCAACAACAATTAACAACTTAATTATCGACATGCACTATAAAAAGAAACATGTATTTCTTCTATTAGTTGAAATTCATCAACAAAAACAATAATTTGCGCAAACAGTTCAAACCCATTATCAACGATATTCATTCATTGTTATACCAACATAATGCATGTAAATTCTGTTTTTAAATATTATTAATAGCAACCTATAAAAAAAAGTTTAAAAAAAATATTATTTTCAATAAAGTAACAAATTAAAGAAGATTTATGTAAATCCAATTGGATTTGTAAAATATAGTATATAATTGAGATCAGCAAAAAGTTATCATAAATTGTCTAAGAAATATAAAAAAGTGAATTGGTCTCTTGACAGTTATGTTTCAATGACTTTCAATTTAATTATTTTAAATATAACGCAAATCCTTAACGGCTCAAATCGGTTTGAGAAATTTTTTCGTGGACGCCTATGAACTGAGTGAAAAGTTAAATATCTTACGTCAATTACAAACTTAAACTTTTCTTATACATTTTTTGAATAATTTTTCAACAATTTATAACAATTGTGAGAAATGTGTCTCGCAATTTATTTTGTAAAGTATGCATAATTTATATTACAATTTCACGAATTATTCTAAATTGCTTCAAGAATTATTAAAATATATATATAAGAAATGTATTGGCGTTTAAACTTTGTAAATGATGTAATATATTTCAGCACGTCAACGTGTTAAACAATACTATTAGAAGTTGCAATTGGATTGTTTGTATTAATAAATAAGAAAATTATAATCAAATTGTTTTACATATAAAAATGAGTAGTGTCAAAATTAAAAGTAATATGTATAAATAATTATATCATTTTTATTTCACATTTTAAGTGCCCTACACATATTGGAAAATATTACTACATATATTGTATTCTTATTTAAATTTATATACACACAGCAAGAGAAGTCTTATTATTGTTATATATTTTACAATCTTTAGCAAAATTGACGTAATTAAATAGATTATTCTTTGACATAAATTAGTCTCACTATTATACAGTTATGATTGAAGGGATCAATGTAAAACCTATAACATTATTATTAGTTTTTGTTCAATGCAATAATACTATTTTCTTATAAATTGATTATTCGATAAATCATCAGTGTAAATTTAAATAAAGTTACAAAAAAAAATAAAGTTATTAATACGAATATTAGAGCATATAAATATATAAGATTCCTTACAATTAATTGCAATAAATAATCATAACAAGGAAATAATTAATTAAGAAGTAACAAATACATAAAACTTAATCTTTGGAAACAGTTAAAAAAATTGCTATTTTATCACAAATATATTGCAAGTATAGCTAACTAAAATATTGGGAATGTCCATTTTTAATATTTCATTTAAACATTTTAATTCAAATGAAGTTTGAGACTGTATAAAATGCTTTACTTTAAATAACTATGAAATTGTTTAAAACGATTTTGAAGATTTATACGTGGATAAATGTTGAATCATATTTGTCTCCATTTGAAAATATTCTTTCTAAAGACTTAAATATTGATTAGATTTACTTACAAAAATATATTTTATAATACATTCTGCATTTTCTGGGTTAAAAATTACAAAAAACTGACTTACAATCACAATAAAACACACATGTACACTCCTAAATTGCATTGAGTAAATCATCGTTGAATACCTGATCACATTTGAAGCAAATTAAAGTACATGCAGACTAACTTAAAAAATCACAGAATTTATATGCTTTTCTTTTTGGAAACTTAAGAGAATGGTATTTGCGATAATTCTTAAATTATGAATGAATATTAACCACATGCCTTTTTGATCCATCTCGGAAAGTAAACGTTTCCGTAATACAACTCAGGTATTGCAGTAATCAACCTTGCGTCTGCTATGCTTGAGCTGATAGTCCTTGCCATCATAGTGCATTGGTGTCTGGGGCTCTTTTGGCACGACAGGGAAGCAACACCAAAGCACGAAAGCAACAAATGCCACGATTGTGCCAAGCAATAAGATGAAATCTTCGAACGTCTAAAATTGTGATGATTTTACAATACATACAAACTCGCAAATGTAAATAATTCGCACTTACCGGCTCCTCGCCAAGCAGGACATTATTTATTAAGTAAACAAAATCATCGAACGGTGTAATCATGTTTTGTACCATGTAAGGTTAAGTTACATTTTGATTTTTTTTCTTTTCGTGCTGAACTATTCCACCCTACGTGCTTTGCTTAATTCCACTACTTGGTTAATTGCATAGTTCAGATTACATTTCAATGCCAAAGCATTGTCGCCTGCTTTGACAGGAGTTGACAGTAAAATTGCAGCCTCCAGTAACTTCATCAATATTACAGCGTTGCAAATTGTACACACCCTCAAGAAGATTCGTTTATAACATTAACATTTACTCTTCCTCTTAATATCAAAAAAAAACAAAACACTGAATGCTAATACATAATTTAATTTCATTTTCAAGTAACGATATCATTCCGTCTTACGATGGTTCAACCAATTCATTAGTATTCTATTCGTATATCACTCAAATATAGTTTATTTATTTTATAATCCTAAAACAAATTTGATATTTATTTTTGCTACTTTGCTACCTTACAAAAAGTTTTCATATCGTTTATTACCCGCAATAAAGTCAAAAATACAAATATTATTGAATCAGTAATTACTTTACAAGTTTGTCAGTCTGCAATAAAGTTTTATATACTGCCTAATATGATTGTATTATTTTTATGATCTACGAGGAAAATTTATGCTAAACGAAAAAAATACATTGAAATAAAATTATGTTTGTATTATAATTTGCAAAACATGTAACAAAGTTCAGATAAATTCAAACAAGTTAATGAAATCTAATTAATGACAGTCTGGACTAATATCCAAAGATATTACCGAGTTTTCTCTTTTCGGATAATCTCCTATGGAAACATTGTTTGATTCCAAAGATACCGGAGATGGAGGTATTTCCGTAAACGGATCAATAATTCTATCGCTTTCGATTAGCAATTTTTGACCAACGACATTCTAAAATTATCAAGTATAAATTAAAAATAAAATCCATACTTTAAATATAGCTCTTACAGTTATATTCAAATCCAAATTGTAGGTAATATGTTTGTGTTGTCCACTATCCCTTACGTAGCTTTCTCTCACATTCGAAGCCATTCTGAAAAGAGCTTCCGAGCATTTCGCCAAATATCTTAATTCCTTCAACGCAATTAAAGCCTCCCCTAATTTAGCTTCGCGCAGTAAATTGTAAAAGTCTTCCTCAGAAAAGTACTCTTTTCTACCTTCTAACTTCAACAATTCCAGTTGCATTTTTTGAATATCAGCCCCCCATTTGTAATAATTTTTGATCATGGTGTTGAGTAGGAATTGATCGAACGGCACAATTTCTATGGGTCTAAGTTCTATGCACTGTTTCACTTCCATCCATGCTTCGCCCAACTTTAAAGTCAAATAGTTTTCGCACACTAATTTGGTAATCTACAAGTTAGTTAATTTAGTAAATTGTTTCAGGTTGTTCATTAAATTACCATATCGTCAATAGTCAGATCGTATCCATAGAGTTTGTAATGCTCATTAGCAATTTCCACCTTATCTTTATGTCGTTCATTCAATAGTTGAATAATAGCATACAACTTTGGTCTGCAACTGAATTCCATATCGGCGATTGCTGGACTTCTTTCAGTATTATTAGTCACTTTGATTTCTCTTTGCATTTTTCCCATAATAGGATAAGATATATCTAAACAAAAATATATAATATCCTAATAGATTCAGAAACTCACTAAATCAAACCCTCGACGACTCCACGTTCCATTGTCTTCACTCCAATAAGACAGTTTTCTTCCCTGAAAATTTTCAGCAGAAGCGGAATTAGCGATAATTTTTTGTTGCGCCATGTCACAAGGTACGGAATTCCGGTGCCTTCTTCGGCAATTTCCACGAGGAATCCCAACGCAACCAATTTAACAGGAAACGGAGCGTCCTAGAATCGCATTATTTTTTTTATTATGTTAACATTCACTTTTCATATTCCAAACTCTGATTATATCTAGCAATAAGTAGACTCCATTCGCTTTAACAAAATAGATTAAATTATTGTCGTGGAAAATGGCCAATTCCCAAAGGTAATTAATTATTGTTATGGCGAGTTTCGAATCGTACAAAATATCATTTGGATTCGGCTTCAGAATGCGTCGCATGAATTCAAGGCAAATATCAATGTCTGCTGAAAAACTATCTTCCCCACATTTAATGAGCAAGGCCATAATTGAAAAGATAGAAGTCATGGCCTTTTGATTCGAGGTATTCAAATCTTTTACATAAAGTATATTGACAATATCTAAAAATATACATCAACGTTCGTAACTTTAAATGGATTCAGACAAGTTATACTTCTCAATATCTCTTTGGCGTTATGCGCTTTGAATTGCTTCAATATTTCATCGTCGTGTTTGGTGAAGAGTAGAGATTTCAAGCATTTGAGACAGGATATGAGTGTGTCCATTGCATAAGGTTTGATCACAAAATAATTCAAAAGTAATAGAATCCGTGCGATTCCGTTTATCTCGATGAAATCCTGATATATTATATGCATGATTCTTTCTAAGACATTCAACGCCGTATATCTAATCTTGCACAAATATTCTGGGCACCAATCATTGTATTGCTCAGGAATCAGCAATTTCATCAAACAAAGTATAACATGTTTCTCTTTGACAATCTATGCGAAAATAAGATAAATAACTCTGATAATAAGTATATCTAAAGCAGCAAACTTTCAACGCTCCTAACTCTTTGGTGCAATAATAAATAGCGACTATAATCATCCGTTTAAATTCATAATCCTCGTCAATTGTATAGAAGTGAAGAGCAGCAGCCCAAGTTCCTGCGGTACCCAATTCAGTGGCAACGGACAACGTGCAAATATCTGTAATATTTATTTATTTAATATCGTATAAACTTGCATTGAAATAAAATTATACCTTCCGATAAACCTGACTGCAGCAATCTAAATTTTGGAAATAAATCTGCCAGAAGCAATATCATCGCTGTTGTATAATTACGATCTATTCTTCTGTTTATAGAAGACATGTTGTAACGAAAGACGTAACGCATCGCCCAAGCGGCTTCCAAACCAGGTGGTTTAATATTAACAACTTTTTCTTTAGGTGCATTTTTGATGGTCTCAAGCAACATTGATAGTAGCTGTAAGCTCTCGTCGAAATTTTTAACGTCTTCATCGATATCGCATGGTGAATTCATTCTCGTTCTCCAATGTGGATCCAAACGTATCATAATAATATCCAAAACGCCGTCGTTCAACATTTTAAAACCTTCAAAAATACATTATATGTACAATGTATATCTTCAATGGATAACTTACATGTGTTTTGGGAAATAGCTGCAATTTTGCAAGAGATTTTCAGCATCTCGATGTACATCTCATCGTCGCACACTCTTAAGAAGTTATTGAAACCATCGACCAAATCGCTGTTTTCAATAGCTTCCTGACAAACTTGCATGGAAACGCAATACATCGATATAGGTTTCTTTCTTAGTATAATTCCCCAAATTGCATTGAGAATTAAATTTTGAATCAACTTATCATTAACACTAACGAGAATGTAACCTGCGAAAAATAACAGTTTAACTCAAATACGTAGCAAAATGTTACAAAGTGATACCAAAAAATGAAAAATATGCCTCTAAGTCTGGTTTCAACCTAAGTATGTCGTTATGTCTGCACATTATTGGTGGAAGCGCGCACAGACGGAGTAAAGACTCCAAGTATGGAGCGTATTGTGGATTATCTGTACTTTTATTTATTAATAATTCTATTACTTGAGTTACGTATGGTAAATCATGAAGCCACTAGGGTTATTATTAAGGATTTATAAATGTACTATAAGTTTTAAAGTTTGAAGAAGGATACATATCCGGACGGTAAACCCATAAGTAAATCATCCATTAAAACGATTTGCCGGTTTATTAAATCCGTGGACATTGGATTTTTCAATAGTTCTACCAGAGTGTATATAATACATGATGGGTTTATACGTTTATATTTGTTTTCCAAACACTTTTTCCTTTTATCTCCACTTTCCATTTTATAACTTTGAAATAAAACAACTGTGATCTAATTTAAATTCGAAATGCATAAAGACAGAAACAAATAACTTTTATTTAAATTTCATACTATTTCATCCATGTATTTTAAAAAGTTATTTAGAAATCATGTATTTTCATAAGTTATTTGGAGAATATGCAATAGTTTTATGAAATTTTAATGTATTTAAATAACTCCTTTATATTATAGACTACCACAAAGTTTGAGGTGCAATTTTAGTTGCCTAAATATTCAAATATATGTATCTATAAGAGGGTGAATTATGGCTGCATTTAGAAATATTAAAAGTATAACACAGATTTCGAAACTATTCAACAATGCAGTTTCGAATAGAACTGTAATTCCTGCAAATACTGTGTTAGCAATAAGGTATTTACATTCAAGAACGTTACAAGTCTTAACTTACATAACCTATAAATTATTTGATTGCTAAAACATTGTTTCTACAGGAATTTAAGCACTACGAAATGCCTTGGAGGTTTAATGGAATTTTTCGATGATGAAAAGAATTGGGGTGTCAATGAAGTCAAGACAGGCAAATCATGGAGTATCGATGAATTAAGAATCAAATCCAATTCAGATTTACACAAGTTATGGTCAGTTTCATATTAAATATATACACTTTTAAATAAAATTAAATATGTATAATTTATAGGTTCGTTTTACTTAAAGAGCGTAATATGCTCTTGACAATGGAAGAGGAAAGTAAGGAGGAAACTAGACTTTTTCCAAGTCCTGAGCGTATTGATAAAGTGGAGGTATCAATGGATAATTTGGAAGCTGTGGTGAAGGAACGTAACAAGGCGTACTTTGAATTGGAAACTGGAGAAACGGGCGAGCGTAAAGTTGAAGAGATTATGGGTCCATTTGGTTTACCTGTACAACATGAACAAGAGGAATATCTGATACCAAAACATATGAATGCTGAATGGCAGAAGAAGCATGTCCACGATGTTGACAATGCTGATGTCAAGAAGTTCGTCAGGCTCTACAAGGAAAAAGAGATGCGAGAAAAAAGGCAACAGCAGACGCGCGATTTCAATCACGTTATTGGATTGCTGAAAAGATTCCCCGATATGGATATGGAAGCGCTAAAAGCCAAATATCCAGACGTTGACATTGATAAAGCAAAGAGGAGCAGAAAATGCAGAGGTCACTTTGTTCCTAAATAATGTATCTAAAATAAATAAATGTTAGTTTAAATTTATACGCAGCTTTTTTTTTATGAAACATCTTCAATAATACAAATGCATCTCATATTTTGTAATATAATTTATTGTATCATAATATCGTTATGTAACGGGACTTTATAGACAGTTATTTAATTAATATCATCAAATATAATACTAACATACAAAATTAGCAACTGAAAGCGAAATAGACGCTAAACTCGCATATAAATTATTCTGTAATATAAAAATATAATTTCAAATGAAATTCACTTAAAAGAAGATATGTAAATCATCATAATTTTAGTATAAGCACCGCCGTGTTGTCTTCTCGTGCTAAGTAGAAAATTGCGTAATAAAATGCGATCCCTTGACATTTTGAGCATTTAAAAAATATCCAAGAATATATTGTAATTACGAAAATTAAAGGAGAATTATTAAGAAATTTTCTATTTAGCAGATGTACTTATTCAATGAATCAAGTGAAATCACTTGATCAAGAGTTTGATCCACACACAAACATTTTTTTTACAGAAATCACAAAAGCAAAGAAAAAAAAACGAATTTTCCAATCCAGTTTTCCTTTAACCAATTTAGCTAAAATCACCCCAAAATTGCTCACACAATAACTAATAGATGAGCAATAATATCGTAACTTCGTAAAAATAGATCACAAGCAATGGCATAACATAATATAAGTGTAATTGATATAATTGCTTACAATTAATGTATTATATGTCTTATATATTTTGTGATTAATTAATAACACACTCAATAATTATTAGTATTTTTTCGTATTATATGTATATCAGTTGGAGTAACTACATGTTTCATCAAACATCATCAGTTGATTAATATTTTATATATTAGATAGTAGTATATTTTTTAAATAACGTTCCCTCTTTTATAATGGGTTACATAAATAATTATATATATTATCCAATCCGAGTGTCTAAGAATATCATAAATAGAGTACAAAATGTATTTTAAAATTTTGGATTTAAAACGAAGACGACAGCATTTGCGTTGCGTGTAAGATATTTAAAGTTTGTAGATAAGATCCAAAATTTTAAAACGTAAACAAATATTCCCTTACTTATAATCCTCACTTACTCATTATTAAGACACTTAAAATGTTTTTTTTCAAGTCTGATGTTTCATTTTTTCCCTTATGATAATTCAGTTAGATTTCCAATATAAGAATTTAAATATACAATAAACTGAGTATTTTATAGTAGAATAATAATTCCAATTTTCGATAATTGATAAATAAAATACACGTAATACTTAGCACTCAATGAAATATGACTCATTATTGTTACATCTTTAGAATTAATATCAAAGTGATTTGCGCGCAAGAAAAATATTCTAACTGAATTATTAAAATAAAAATTATAATAAATTAGTAGATTATATTCATTAGTCAGATTTCTTAGTTAATATAATATCGAATATATTTTTTTTTGTCCACGCAATTTAATATTAGTGCATCTCTACAATGTGCACATTATCATATGAAGCAGATCTATCTAAATATCGATTAATAATATGTATAATGTATATCATACCTCCACACCAAAAAGGTTCTAATTCTATCACAATCTTTGAGTTTACACAGTATTAAATGACTAGAAATTGAATACGAAACCATTCGGAAATTATACCCGCAATTCTCGACATGTCTGATTTTTTTTTCAATAAATAATTTCAATAAAAAATAAATAAAAACTATGTGCACCGCCGTTGACAATTAAAGAAAAATCACATTTACCTACAAAGTAATTGCTTTGTATAATAATTATTATAAAAATTAAAACTAAATTAACATGAACTTGCAAGAACGGTTACTCTACCAGGACAGTTTCAATTATTGTTTGACTTATTATTCACGTCTACGTTACCTATTCGCCTATATCTTTAATTACATGTTGATCGGCCAGGAATTCTGCAGAACGTTATATGTTTCTCCGCATTTCTTATTCAATTGGTCCGTCTCCGGAAGCGTACTCAATGGAAAACATTCACCCTACATATCGAACAGAAATAATTAGAATACTTAACTTATTCTATCTTTCACTCTAAGAATGTAATTAATATAATATAATTGTGATTTACCTCGTTATGATAATTCCATAGCATTTCTAAAGTTGATATAAAGTTCTCCAACTCTGAATTAGTAGCAAAATAAATAATCCAATCGCCACCACTTTCATTCACTTCTCTGCAAGCGAATTCCTAATAATGGAAATTAAACAGTTGAAATTACGCAATATCTTTCTTTCGAATTGTTAATAATTTACCAGTATGCACCAACTTTGCTCGGCTGAAGGCAGCCTGAACGAAACGATGTCAGAAATGGCTGCACAAGAAATCGCTTGCGCTCCCTTAATTGGATCATGGGTGCTTTTAGAATCGATTATGCTGCACGGGAAAGCCTCTCTGACAGTTAATATGTGCTCGTTTGTCATCAACAACGTGTTCGCTTGTGTCAACAATTTCTCTTTATGTGTGTAAACCTAGGTATCATGCAAGATTTTAGACGAGTTAAACATTAGTTATACTTCAATATATTTACCCCGCTAGCTGCATGTACTAAAGCTTGTAGCCATTCGCTAGCTACGAACTCATCGGGAGCAGCCAAATGAAGAGTATTCCCGGAAACGATGAGCTGAAAAGTGTGAGGTCTTGGAAAGTTGTGTACCCTCCTAGCGCCTTGACAAGCACCATTAATTAACGGAAGCACTCGCATTGGAACTCGATGCGAAGGAGACGATAGCATATACAAAACTCCAGCCCTTAAAATATACATAATATTAAATTTTAATATCAATGAGTGAAGAAAATCATACTTAAGTATAAAATATGCAGTTTCCCAACGCGATTCCGTCTCCGAGATTTTAAACATCAAAGGACCCTCTTTGTTCGGCCCAAGCGGAGTTTCCGGATTATCAGAATTGCATTCCTGTATATTAATGATGCTGTAATAGAAGTATTCCTCGTCCTTCTGCACGGGAGTTTGCTTGCAAATAGCTTTCCTTAGGTTCACCATATCTCTCATATTAAGCTGCTTTACAGCGGGTAAATTTGGACAGTTCATATCACGCCTTATTGCCATCTCCAAATTAACTATAATATCATTAGTTATTCTTCCACATCCAGTTGTGACCACACATTGCATATCATTGTCGTAATTAGAAATATGAATCGTTTGTGCATTAGGACCGATTAAAATAGTATTTAATTCAGTGAACGGTAAGACAAAGTGATTGCAAAATGTGTAAGATTTTTTAAATCCCGAAATGTACAGAGTGGCATTTGTTAGAATCACAATCAAAGGTTTGTGCTCTCCACTTGTAGTATAAGCACTCCAAACCGGAAATACCTAAATCAATTTAAAGTTATCGTTTCAAAAATAACGGAAATAATATAATTATACCTTAATTAAAACTTCTCGATCGTCCCTAAATATCTCCTTCCTGAATTTAGCGATTTGTTCAAATTCAACTCCATTATTTTCCCTATTCTTTCTGTATCCCAATATTTCCTGCTCGATTTGCTTATCCAAATCTAAACTCGAATTTCCATCTGCCACAGCTCCTTTCACATACAAATCAATGTATCTAGAAGCCCTGAGCTTCTTCTGCAATCTCGTATCCAAAATCTTCTTCATAGTGACGTTGCGTAAAAAACGGTTTATAAGTGAGTTTTTTGAAGAAGATGCTCGCATTACGTTGTTCGGTAAAGACTTTGAAGTGTCCTGACTTTGAGCGGAATCCGATCGAAAATTTTGCACGGCGTAGTGATTTGCTTTATTGATGCGCCTCTTTGGTGAGTTCAAATGACGAGAAGAATCGGGAAAATCTGAGCAGACTGTTTCATTGTCGGACCAATCGAGTTTGGTAGAGGATGCGTATCTGTTGACGGTTGGTGCCACCTCCTTTACTTCCTTAATTGGAGTAGACGCATTTAAGAATTCAAATTCATCCTCTGGATCTGGTTTCTCAGGTTCAGCTTGTTTAGCCTTCTTCTTGAAGAAATTAAATTCTTTGAGTATCATTTGATAGACTGTTGAACTCTTCGGTTTTTGGCTTGTGAATGACTTTTGGAATGCATCGTACTCGTATGAGTAGCTTATTCCTTTATGCTCGTAAACATTGCTATCGCATAGAACGATATTAGCTGGAACTTGCTCCACTTTTGGATAGTTTGGTTGGAAACCTTCGCTGATCGACAGACGCAAATTATTTTTAGCAGTTTCCAACTGTTTAGCAGTATTTGATATATCGTGAGAAGAGGAATAAATAGCAACGTCTTCTTGCCCTTCCGGTACACCTCGCTCGGCCAGAGGCACAGAAGTTGAGAAAATACTTTTGAGACTACCAAATATATTGTTATCCAGTAAATTGGTATCAGGTTTCTTACGACGCCTGGCAGATTCTTCTTCAACGATATTAGTATCCAAGATCTTTCTGTGTTTAGTTTTCTTTAAACAACTGGATTTCGGCATCTTCAATGATGGTTCTTTAGGAACATGATCATCATCATCCTCCTAAAAGAAAAAATGAACTAGTCAAACACGTACTGTTATATACAGTAATATACCTTGTCCTCTTCGTCTATTGAACTAGAAATGCTACCACTAGAACTTGAAGATACCGAGGAATACCGTTGCACGTAAATGTCGGATTTCACTTCTCGGTCTGATTTTTGCTTGTCGTAATAAGGCGCATCTCCTTCAGCAGCCCAGCTGTAACGTCCTTTAACCACGTCCGGTTTTTTAGAAAACCCTCTCAAAAAGAAATTTGCAGAAACATCAGGTTCTATAGTAATAAATCCATAATTAATATGGATGTCATCAATCTTGGTGCTGTTCAAAATATCTTCATGAAAAGACACACGTTTTTTTGGTGTATCTGATTTGGACTTCTTTTTCCTTTGCCTGCGAAACACTATTTGCTCATCCTGTACAGCATCAGCAACTGGTTTGATCTCATTAACATCAGGCTCAATTGGAGCAATTTCTTTGGAATTGTTTGGAACTTGAAGAGATTCATTAACTTCCTCGGACAAACTAACATGCATCTGGTCTTCAGCTTATATAATAATTTAAAAAAATAATCAATAAAAGCATAAAGCATATTGTAAATATTTACCTTCAATATTTTTTATCTGGCTCTTCATGTTTGCAACTGTGTAATCTAATAATTCATAACTATTTAATGAAATATTCATGACATCTTCTTTAGACTCATCACCTTTAAAATTCTGATTTACTATATCACTCTTAGTCATCACTACATCTTCAACACCTTTTTCCTTTGACACCAAGTCTTCGAACATTTCATTCAGCTGGGTTTCTGGATCCTTCTCAAGCAGCTCACAACCACTGGCTGACATCACTGATGTTAAATCACTCTCGCTATCAAGCAACTGTACTCCTGAATCGACAGGAGAGGTCAAGCTGGATGCCAGCGAAATGGTGCTTGATAGTAGCTGCTTTTCATCAATTAAGATAGAATCCATCTTTAGCATGTCCCTATCCAGCAGTTCAGTCTCCATCTTAAAGAATTCTCTTAAATCAAACCATTAAAACTAAATTAAAAGCACATTAATCAATTGAAACACATTGTCTAATTAGTTTTCTTGGAACCATTTTTATTTGAGTCATTGTGTGTGCATATTTAGATTAACTTATTGGACAATGCATGGTATCTGGGGGTCACTTAATGCGGTATCATTCGACAAATAAACGCAAAATAAAAAGAAAAAAGGGCAAATCCTATCTACGTCTAATTTAGTCATAACGAAAACAGTTTTTAGTTACTTGGTACAGTAAATCCAGTAATGAATATGTCAGGCGACCGGTGTTTGGAATGTATTAAATCCTCTTCAACAACATTTTATTTATTTATTTATATTTTTTTAGACTATAACATGCAGTGCACTTTATCAAACAAAAAACATCAAGTGACATTTTTGTCAAATGTGAACGCATGCGCATAAAACTTCAGGATTTGCATTGATTTTATACGCAAAATACTACTTGCGTTGAAATTACTATAATTAATACTATTATATAATAGTATAAAAGTTGGTTTGATCCTCAAAAAAACAACAAAATTTGTGGAACAGATAAACCCAAAAGGGTTGGTTAGGGCCAAAGAGATTAAAAATACTATTATTATCTAATATTAAATATCTAATTTGAAATAAAACTGTAAATAATATTAATTATAAGAAACAATTAGCAAACCCAGAAATATAAGTCTAATAATAAAGTCAAAGTTTTACATTAATTATGCAACCAAATATACATATAAAAATTAAATATTGCATAAATATTCTTGTAGAATATTTCAAAAATGTTTAATTACCTTTTTTTATTGGCCCATTTGGGCCCATTTTATAGAACAAAAGATTATCAACATTTCTAAAATATTTTAGCAATAAATATTCTTATTTTGTGATGTTTATTTTACTGAAAAAAAGATTTTTAACTAGTCTAACCAAAGTTATGGATAACTATAAGTGTTCTTCTAAAATCATAATTTAAAAAAATAGTACATATTTTTGTAAATATAATGGTAGATTTTGCATATTTATAGATTGGTCATAAATTTTATTGTATAATAAGTAATGTAGACTGAAAGTGGAAGGTTGCATGGTTTTAAATATGTTTATAGTGAACTTACAATTAAGTAAATATAAATTATTTATCCCCTGGCATAAAGACTTAATTATACTAAAAATGTTGAACTGTAATAGTTGAAATTATGTCATTGAATACATATTGTTTCATATCATCTAAACTATTTTTGCTGCACTCAATATTTAGTTCACGTAATGTTCTTGAAATATTTTTTTATTGTCCGAAAACCGATAAGATAAGTAATGTTTGAATTGCAATGGTAATTACACTCTTGCTCTCTCAATATTGCGCAACGTTATTAGTGTTTATTGAGATTGCGCGTTACTGAGAAACTTTGTTTGTATATATTGCTTCTGATTCTCCTGTACGGAACGTGTGCACGGTAAACGATATGTATTCTCAGCAACAAAGTTATCCGAAGATTTGGTCTACCTTTACCGGTAAAAAGGATAGGAAATCTTATGAGATTCGAGATGCAAGGGAGGAACATTACGAAGCTATGACCCAGGGGATGATAAATCATTTCTTGAGAGAAGAACCCACATGTAAATATCAAGGTAATAACTTTACAGTAAATACCTTGAGCACGTGCTAAATATACTTTCGCAGAGATTGTTTCTTTAGCATTGACGAATACGAAATTTAATTCGCTTCAATTCAAATTTCCCGCCTTACATTCAAATATGAAATATTACTTTCAAATATTAATAAGTTGTATTTGTGTTTTTAGGATGTTACGATGACAACGAGTTTATTGATGAATTGAAGGATATTTGGTTGGCTTGTTATAAGAGAAAAATGAGCTTGGTTTGCTTGGATGAAAGTTCTAATGTCGCTGGATTTTTGTTGCTTACGAAAGAAGAAATTAATGATGAACCAATTATAGTAAATATTCATATTTAAAATATTAAATTTATAAGTTTATTATCAAATCAATAGTACTTAATTTTCAATTAAATAATTTTCGCAAAAATATAGTAATTATAATCTAAACTAATATTTTCATATTTTGCAATCAAAAATGTAATGTATAAAACTGCCTAATTTCTTATTTTTCCAGGCAAGAAATGAAAAATGGAAGAAAATTTGCGATATAATCGGTTACATTTCTACGCAGAAAAATCCTTTTGAAACGTTCAAAATTACAGAATATTTATCGGATTTGGGAATGCTGGTTCTACCGGATTATCGTGGACAAGGAATTGCTGAACATCTGCTGAACACTTGGTACATCTTATTATTGTAGTAGAAAGAAAAGAAACGAACATTGCATAATGCATTTATTTAATTTCAGTGATTTAGTGGCGAAGCAGCACAAGCTCTCATTACTTGCGATGACGTTCTCATCGTACATGTCGCAATCGTTAGCACACAAATTGAGTTTCCTAGAACTCTACAGAATATCATTTGAAGAATTGAGAAAGATAGACGCCGTCAAATATGGTATCGACAACATCGAGGAACACACGAAAGACATCCAGTATTTATACAGATTATATAGATAAAGCAGTGTCAATAAATAAAACATTATCAATGTTGCTCAAAAATCAACTTGTACGGATTCAGAATCCCATTGGGATCCATCAACCTTTTCATTTGACGCATGAAGATCAACGCGTTCTTATCTTTTATCTTCTCCAAATACTTGATCTTTGCGAAACCAATGCCGTGCTCAGCGCTGATGCTTCCCTTCAATTCGACGACTCGCGAATACATATAATCTTCAATGAAGTCTTTAATCTCATGAGTATACTTATCAACGGCAACTTGGATATGCAGATTTCCATCACCTACAAGTATATTTAATTAATTGTAAATTAATTATTTAATTTTTATATTACTACCTAAATGCCCAAAACCAAACACTTTTCCTTTTGATCCTAGATGATCTCTAACATCGTCGACTAAAGTGAAGTAATCGGGAATTGGTAGAGTTACGTCGTAAAGAAAGACGTAATCGTCTTTAACAAACGAATCTGGTATCCTTTCACGAATTTGCCACATTTCCTAAAATGTATTATAACTAATAAATAATTTATCATAATATACAATTGATTTACTTTGACTTTGGAAGGTTCGGTTGCGACGGTTCCGTTCAAAGCGAAATGTTTAATCAACGTCGTCTCTAGGAACTTGTGCAATTTATCTGCATCGTGTTCATCATTACTTCCTGATGTTTCGATGACTAAATAAAAAGGATATTCGCCAATTGGCGATTCAACTTTCAACTTGTCTTTAACAAAGTCCATGGTGGCGCTATCCATAACCTCCATCGCTGACAGAATCTCTCCCAGGTCCTGTTTAGCCTGCATGAAGGTTTTAAGGACTTTGGGAAATGATTGCAAACCCAGAAAGGCCAAATTTATGGATTTGGGTCTGACTGCGCATTGGATCGCAACTTTCGTGACTACGCCCAAAGTACCCTCGCTACCAATAAATAGGTGCTTCAAATGAAAACCCGTATTGTCTTTCTTTAAGGAACTCATAAGATCGATAATTTCGCCATTAGCCTTAACCGCTTCCAGACCTAACACATTTCCGTGCATATTTCCGTAGCGCAGTAACCTCAAGCCTCCGGCATTTGTGGATACATTTCCTCCAATGTGACAGGAACCTTTAGCACCCAAATCTAAAGGCATCATAAAGCCTTTCTTCTCTAGCTCATTATCAAGATTTTCCAAAATACAGCCGGATTGGCACACCAAAACGCCTAAAATAAAAAATCAATTAATTTGTTTTAATTATATATAAATTTACAAAGTGTTATTTAATTTAAAGTTACCTAAATGTTCGTCGACGCTTTCAATTTGGTTCATCAATGCCATAGATATGATGATCTCATCGAAAACAGGCACCTGCCCTCCGACAACTCCGGTGTTTCCACCCTGCGGACACACGGCCAATTTATTTTTATTGCAATACGATAAAATCTTCGAAACTTCCTCGGTGGTTTTGGGTTTTAAAACTAGTTTACTGTTACCTAAAAACAAAACAAAAGCGAAACTCGTATTTCATAATTGCATGCACGCTTGATTGGTTTTACTCGCCTCTGTAGTGCTTGAACCAGTCGACGTTGTATTGCTCCAAATCGGATAAATCCATAACCAATCGATTTTCACCAAGAAGCGTTTGGAAATACTTGATGTGGTCTTCTTCCAAGGACTGATAACCGCCCCGCTGCACATTGTAGTTGTTCTAAAAAACAATTAAAAAATACTCGAAGGATTTCGCTATTATAGAATTTCGTGTTACTTTTGTAAAATCCGGAGTCGAAGAAAAGCACCTGATCGATGCAAACCGCTTCAATCCGTCAGCTGCGAAACTCCTGATCATTGCAGCGCTTTGCCTAAAAACAATTTATGAAACAAAAAACGTTCCTAACATTACTTTATCGCTGCTGATAAGATAATATGTCCCACGCTGTTCGAAGCGTGTTTACTAACTGGAAGTTGGAATGAAGTGACTGGGCAAGAAGCTCAATTCAAGGTCCACTTTCATTTGCATATTCATTATCTGACTACGTAGACTGAACAAATTATATCTTGTGTCGTATATATTTATAACTTCTATTTATCATCTATTAGCAAATTCTTTATTGTATTTTTTAGAATTTTCAATTTATTTTAAAAATATAATGAATAACAATAACGATAAACAACAAAAATATTACCAAATATGTATATTACAAATTATATACAAAAATATTTAAGAATTATGTACATAATTTATTTATTCTTGCATAAGAAAATAATTAAGAACTTTCCGGTAGAACTTTATAGGGGTTTAAAATTTTGTTTGGATCCATCATGCGCTTAATGTCCTGCATCAAGTTAATAGCGGCCGGAGACTTTGAATAATGCACGTACTTCGATTTCCTGAATCCAATACCATGCTCCGCGCTGACACTTCCTTTCAGACTGGACGTGTATTCGTACACAAAGGGCTCGATTTTGTTGTGCATCTCTTTGCTATACTCTTTGAAGGATAAATTCAAATGGATATTGGAATCACCTAAAAATATATATATTAGTTATAATTTATGATAATGCAAATGGTAAATATTACCAATATGTCCGTAACCGCAAATCCTAACGGCATCTTTACCGATTTTCTCGTTCATAACATCGACAATCGCGTAGAATTCTTTAATCGGTATGGATAAATCATACTTGAATACGTATCCATCCATGAGTAAACCTTGAGTAATGCTTTCTCTCAACTCCCATAATTGCTAATTGTTAAAGACAGATTTTTATTATAGTTAGTTTTAATGTCTTATTTTACCTTCATTTTGGAGGGTTGATTGGTTGCTGTTCCATCAAGCACCACGCCATCTCCCATTGCACTCTCCAAAAACCTATTTAATTTTTCTTCGTCGTGCTCGTTGCAACTGCCGTGAGTTTCAATTAAGATGTAGAAAGGAAATTGGGGTATTGGAGATTGCATTTTATAATGGCCGGTGACCACATCCAATGATAAAGCGTCAATCAATTCGAACGATGATAGAATTTCTCCTAATTCATTCTTGCATCTTCGGAAAGTAGTCAACACGCTATCAAATGATTCGACGCCTGGAAAGAGTAGAAATCAGCGGAGCTTCAAATGCGAGCGAGTTGTAAATTACCTAGAAATGCCATGTTTATGGCTTTTGGCTTCGTTGGACATTGGATGGCCACTTTTGTGACAACCCCCAAAGAGCCTTCGCTGCCAATAAAAAGGTGCTTTAAATGGTAGCCGGTATTATCCTTTTTCAGGGTACTCAAGCAATCAAGAATCTCGCCATTTGCTTTCACCTAAACAGATTTCGTTAATAACTGGAACAATTATTAATGTATTTTTCGACCCCGTACAGCTTCAACTCCAAGGACGCTTCCATGTAAATTACCATAACGCAACAACCTCAGACCTCCTGCGTTCGTTGAAACGTTGCCGCCAATGTGACAGGAACCTTTCGCTCCTAAATCCAAAGGAACCATGAGACCCTTTTCTCCAATTTGTTGATCAATATTCTCAAGGATGCAACCAGCCTGACAAACGATAACACCTTGAAAAAGTGATGTTCGTTATATTCAGAATTATAATTTATTTTAATTTGTTACCTGAGATTTCATCTATACTCTCTATTTGGTTCATCAATGCCGTAGATATGACGATCTCATCGAACACTGGTACAGAACCACCTACTAATCCCGTATTACCACCCTGGGGACAAACCGCCAATTTATTCTCGTTACAGAACTCGAGAATCTTTGACACTTCTTCAGTGGTGCGCGGCTTCAGAATGCACCTGCTTTGACCTTCAATTAAAACCATTTTAATAACAATACTAATAAAACACATCAGTCCATTCTCACCTCTGACATTTTTAATCCAATCAATGTTATAAGATTCGCACTCCGATGGATCGTTGATAACTCTGTTCTGTCCAAGAAGATTCATGAAGAAAGCCATATGACCGTCCGTCAATAAAGAATATTCACCCCTCTTAACATTGTATCGATCCTTTTACACACAGTAAACAATTACGTCCATTTCAACCAAATTAATTAATCGACATAAATAACTTCCCGTTACCTTTGTTAATTCCGGTATGGCTTTTGACGAGGAGAAACGCCTGGCGCATCTGATATGCCCATTGGTCAATAGTTTTCGTAACATAGTTTAGTTGATCTGAAATAGAGATATGCTAATGAAGAGGAGCAATGCAGAACGCTATTGGTTTTTGGAACTAATAAACCACGACCTATATGTTCAGACAATTGGGTCAGGAGGGTGTGCGAGTTAAATATCGAGGGGGATATTCCCCCTTTTCTGAAGCTCTCTAGGGGAAATATACGAGCGAGGGCGCAAAGCACAATCCATTTTATAAGAAAATCAATTGCTCGCATTTTATCTCTCGGTTAATTGTGTGTTTTCATTTTATTTTCTTAATTGATGGCATTTGAACGTTCATTATTATGTCAAATGAATTACCAGTTTCGGGGAAATTCCGTATAGCACAACTTAAATAAAAAGATAACGCAGCGAACCGGATTGCCGACTTTGAAATACTGACTATTCGAATGAGTCGTGTTTGCTCATTACGTAAACCCTCGACATTAATCTCGTCTCTCTCGTATTAGATAAGCAAGAATTTATATTTTTGTTTTTATTTAATAAACAAATATAAACTGTGCGTCTGTTTGTATGCTTATTAAACAAAGTTTTCGTAATCACCCAATCACCATGTTTATGAATTCAGTAGTATCGAACAATTATACACAATTACATTATATTGAAGCAAAGTGTGCAACTATAAATTTAATTATATACGTTTGATTATATAAAATAATTGTTTAGTAAAATTATTAATTTATTGTTTTGTTGAATATTACAATTTGAAAAAATGTGATTAATCATGATTTAAATTGCATTTTTTGTCATGATACTTATGTTTTCAATGACTAGATATGTTTGTAGATATGATATAAAATCTGACCTCTTTTGTTTCCTTCCAATTTCACTAAATAAATTGTATAACGTGTCAAATCCACTAAATCCTTAAAAAATAAATTGGTAATTTTTTTTGACTAAAGTTCTCTTTAATATATTCTAGTGTAATATTATAATTCTTCTAATCATTATGAAACAAATAATAAAAATATCTTTCACATATACACATTGTTATTAAAAAATAAATTAAAAGCAAAATTAAGGCCAATATAGTAAATAAAAAAGATTTAAACATATTTAATATTGAAGTACAAAAGGAACATTACTATAATAACCAGCGCCAAAGCGAGGGGTGGTGGAATGGACCATGGCCCCAGGCGCATCATTCGTAGAGGCGCCAATGGCGCAAGTAATAGGTAATAGTATTGTATTTTTGGGGGATAAAAGGGCGTAAATTAAATATTTCGCCACTTTAAATATTGGCCCCAAACCTTGCTGTGTGCCCCTGATTATAACTATTACGAAATGTCTGATTTTGTTATATTTGTCTGGTATTTATAGTTTTATCAATGCCTTTTTTGGATTAATTAACTGTATTTTCTAATTTCCAATATATATGCATATATGCATTAGTACCTAATTTAATTTATTTACTGAATTATTTTATTGTCAATTATCAATATTTATGATAAAATCTACCTCTTTTATGACTATTATGACCATATTTTTTAATAACGATATAATTATTACCATTAGTAACTAATGTATAATATTTATTAAAAAACTACCAAGTTATGTGTTGTGTCAGAATGAGAATAATAATAAATAAAATATTGATATAATGGCAGGTAGGCAATAACTCTCTGCAACAATTATTTTATTCATCTAAGTTTATATAAACACGTATTATTTTTTATTTGTGTAGGTTAAGAGCCCAAATAATTCAATTTAAAGATAACTTAACGAAAACATTTAATAATTTAATAAAATAGTAGTTATGATTCAGATTCTTTAAAAAATAATATTAATATCATGGTAGCAGTTACTTAATATTATACTGAATAAAATCGCATATATCGCGTTGACGCATTATGCATCTTATATACATTAATCCCTTTTTTGTTTTTTATACAATGTTTTTTAACGTTGAAAAAGCTCACATATTTTTTTTATATGTATTTTAATATAATTTGAAATTATATAATAAATATGGTGCATTTTAATACAACAACTATTTCCTATGTTGAGGTATATAGTCCAGTTTCATTTTATGAACCTCTTTAAAAACCATCTCGAATTTATAAAATAAATTTTAATCGACGTCCAGATTTGTCACTATATATTTGTTAGATGTCCTGGTGTCCCCGAAATGTATTTTTGTATGTAAAGTAATGAAAGAGAAGTGAAATCTAATGAACAATAAAAAATCGGGATCGTATCACCCTATCCATATTTAAATATAATAAACCAATCACAATTTGTATTATACAGTAAAAAATCGATAAATTCAACTTCTATAAACGCAATATTTCCTATTAGCAGCTATTATTTGTCTGTAATTGCAACCTATAGAAACATTTTGATAAATTGGGGATAAAAACAAAAATATATGAATGGAGACATTTTAATATTGAGAAATATAAAAGAAAAAGTAGTTGCAATTATCGAATTTTCACTGTAATAATAAATGATATATGACTTTCTGATAAAACACTTTTATTGTAAAAATATTCAATTTTAAAGTAGGCTATGTAAAATAAATATGTTTTATCAAATAACATACGAGATATTTCAATGTGTATTATGTAAATTTGGGTAATTTTAATTGTCTTCAATTAAAATTTCACGTGAATAAGTAATATTAATAAAAAAAATAATTATTTGAATTATATAAATTAGTATGATTGCATTAATTCATATGAATAAATTGATAAATATTAGATGAAGAATACGTGTCTTATTATGAAAGAATTTCAACTTAAAATAGGCTTGAAGTATTGTAGAATGTCAATATTCAATTTGATTATTTTGAATTTGGTTAATAACAATCAAATTAGAGTAATACCTGTACTTATTTGGGTTACTCTTCGAATTAAAAAAGAGATCAATGCGTGCTGTGCAAAGTTGAATAATTATTGTAGAAAATCTTGTTTGTGTAAATTAGTTATTTAAATTGTGTTAGTTTAATTTCATTTATGCCTATGTATAGAGTTGAATATGTTCATGAGATCATGATGATGAATAGTGGATGAGCGACGCATGTCAGTCTGGTTTGTATTATATATACATGCATGTCGTCTATATATAGATGTTCCCCTCCTTAGAGAAAGGATAGAATGTTGCGCGCTGGCGTCATTAAGGCCAATGACAGCGCCGCGGGGGGCAAGTGACGCGCGGGTCGCGGGCGGAAATGGCGCTATCCTCGGTGCGTCTGCGCCCCGACACCCCGACGCTATTGGCTCAATCCCGCAACGACGACGACACAAAGAAAATAAAAACGTTATCTCGTCGTTGCGTTGGTGGAAAATCCGGGCGCACGCGCATCTCCCATCCTTTACACACCAAAAAAATACACAGATACTTCATCCTCCAGCAACAATTTTCAACAAAATGATTGTCATGTCAATCCATTTGTATTGTATCCTATGGAAGATCTTAAGAAACACACTGACAACTTACATTAGCAATGGCGGCAAATTTAAAAATACGTCAAATCATTACCTTGTATAACGAATGATTAGAATGATTCATTATTATATAAATTATTATTATTATTAGGCAGAAAAACATAGCTTAATAGCCCTTTGTATGTGTACAATTAATTATGTTTATTAAATTTAAACTCCACTTTTACGTATGTCTTCAATGTTATATCCAATGCGTATTTTTGAAAATGTGTAAATGTGTAAGAAATAAAAATAGTAATAAACAGTATGTAATTAAATGTGTCAGTTTCATCATCATTTTAAACATAATATAAATATCTAAATAAATATATAAAATGTTATTTTACAATTATTTTATGTTTCTTCTTATATTTAAGTATTATATAAGTATTAATGAAATTGGGGTATATGGTACAGGAAATTAGGGAGGGGATTTTCTTTGACGCCAAGAAAAACTCGTATTAAGGAGGGGCAATGCGAGGGGTGATCGGCGATTGCAAGTGGTGAGAGAGGTAGGCGGGATCATGTAACTCGCCTGATGATGATTTATGCATAGAACCCTCCTACTAATCATTGTCTACTAGAGTTTCATTATTTTATTTCATTATCATATATGGAATTTACTCCTTCAATATTAATAGTTAATTAATATAAAAATTAATTGCTTAACTTTTCATTACAAATACAATAAATACTCTATAAAGCCGATATGGACTTACGGCATTCAGCTTTGGGGATCTGCCTGCAACACCAGTATTGATATATTACAGAGATTCCAGTCCAAAACGCTGAGGAAAATTACCAATGCTCCATGGTTCTTCACAAACGATGACATCCATAAGCAAGCTANCTAGAGAATCACTCAAACCAACCGCAAGACCGATTTAATTATTGATTATTAATGTGTGCAAGTGCATAAATAATTATCGTATATGTTAAGTGGGGTTGCTGGATCATCATCTTCGTTAATTATTATTATAGTGTCCTTTTTGAAATTTACTTTTGCCACATTCATAAGGCTTGATATCAATGTCAGATGATAGATTGCTTTAAAAATATTAAATTAAAAAAAATACAATATATAATAACAAAAAATATAGATAACCGTTTTATAATTTATAAAGATTGTTAATTAGTGTTGAGTCTTCGATTTCATGATTAATTTTTAAATATTTTTTTTTTGCTATATCTGTCAAATAAATATTCTAGCCAATAAATTATACTTATTCTTATATAAAAGTGTTGATAATAATATAAAGTAGTCAATAGCCAGTCAATTAAAGCAATTGACTTTTTTTTGGTTTATTATATTTGTATTATTGTATTTAGTTTTTATTTTGTAATGGAGTTTGTATTTTGTTCTGCTTCAATAAATATTATTATTTTAATATAAAGTATTTAATTTTCAAAAGAAAATAATATTAAAAAAAGGTATGTATCTGAATTTGATATAATTCCTTAAAAATCCATGTAAATATTTTAATAATCTAATTTGATTATAATTATTCTACATGTTTTGTGCATCAAAAACTTATGAAGTACTAAAATAATAACAAATTAATAATGGTTTCT